TCCCTTCAAATAGGTGTTAGTATATGGCTACTTTCTTTAACAACAGCCTCAAAGAGAAAGTGGGCTCAGAGGTTATTCAGTGACACAGTGTTCTCTAGGTTTAGAAGCAGAACTAATAAAGAGCGAAATGATTTGGACTATTACCAGACTGAACCCAAGAAAACATTGACCACATGGATTCTCTGGAGAGTTATCTCCATTATTTCTATAGCTGGGATCTGCTACAGTTCGAACATCTATGTGCAAAAGGCTGTTGTAGTAGAATGACTTGGGTCCTGCTATTTTTGATTTCTCAAATTTACTTAATGTTTTCTTCCAGAGTTTGTGACACAAATAAGCAAAGGATGATTCTTGCCTTGAAAGAAAACAGTTCTGCCCAGGTCATGATGAAGAAAATCCTTATACAATCAAATGTAAGGCCACCGCTCTCAGGGTAGGATTTTTGACAAAGCAAGCAAGCAAGCAGATTTAACAGCAAGATGAAGAATACCAGTACTTTAGAAATGGAATATATATCTGACATTGGACTAACAAGCTGACTGGAGAGAGACAATATACACCATGTTCCATGAGGAAAGTCATGATTGACTGCAATCATGAAAGTGTATTGCACCAAAAAAAAAAAACTCGTCATGAAATAAAAGTAGTGAAAAGCATACATGTTCTTAACCCAGACTTGTATATACTTTCTGCTGACTAGAAGGATTTGTTCCAAAACCTTTGTGTTGTCTTTCAGCCACAATGTGCTGTAGAAGGAGCAAACTGTTTATCTGAGTCCCCTTGAAGCTAAAGTATCGGAAAGCGAATTACTGTGGAGTCAGAGAGAACCAACCAGATCCTCAGGCCAGTGGCATCTAAACAGAGGTCTACAGCCTCATAAAAGTATGCTACACATGGTATCTGATACTCAGGTAAGTGTTCCGAATACCATTCTGGCCCCAGTCTGGGTAAGGAAGCATGACTAAGTGTACAGCCATAATAGGTGAGAAAATGAGCCAATATTTTAATACTGCTCTTTATTTCAGTGAAATGCCTACTGTCTAAGGATCTCAAAATATTTCACAAACTGGACTGACATGATGCTTAGAATGACACAGAGACATCTTTTACTTGTTTTTGTGTCACTACCCTCATTAGACAAAGTATATCAAAGGTAGAGGCAAGTTACAAGAGCCTGAATAATAATTGCACAAGTCATGTGGACATTTAAAATCAAAATAAGTCTGTCTAATTAAGTATCCAGGTAATTCAATACAGAGCTCCAGCAGAAATAAGCGATTCCTACTACAGTTTAACAGCAAGTATCTCACTAAAGAAGGCACCTGTGTGATGCCCTGCACACAGTCATGGCCTCTAACTTTTGCCAAATGCAGAAAAAACTGAAAAAGAAAACAGTGAAAAGGCAAAGTGCATCCAATTAAAGAGACCCATCCACGGAATAATATGAATGTTCTGAATGCAGACAAGTAGTTAGAGAAATGAATAGGGACCAAGCTGAAGACCAGATTCAGATACATCTAGCTGGAGGCTGGCCTGTGGGCAGAAGAAGCCACAAAAAAGAGGCAGCTTATCTAGCTTACTGTCTCCTTAATGCAGAGCAAAATGCTGGCAGGTGACAGTAAACACAAGGAGATTGAAGAAGATGACTCTCTGGAGAAAGGCCCTTGTCAGGAATTTTAGAAAGCAAGAAAAAGAAAGGCAGATTTTTGTTTTCTTGTTTTCAAGTCAATTTTGAAACTGAGTGTAGCTCTGTAGGGAAGAGAATTGTTCCCTGGGGGAATTAGGGAAGTTATAGAGTTCAAACAGAATGAAGAAAAAGGGGGAAATGGATATTTTTCCTCTAGAGGATTGCTCTCAGTAGTTGGTGCCCTCTGGAATCAAGGCAGAAATTATAAAATAAAAAAAAAAAAATTAAAAAAAGTCCTCCACCTATAAATTCTTAAATAGTACCAAAAAAAAAAAAAAAAGTAATTAGAAAGGCTCAAGTATTTGGCAGTGAGATTTCTGGATGTTTGGACTAACCTCGTCATCCAATATTTCATTACAAATCTGGGGAGAACATAGGAATAAAATCTCCTTGAGGGGATGCTCCTTCTTTCTACACACCTTGCCTCATCATCCGTCAGTTTGCTTCTTTGGTCTCTGAACATTTCCTGTCCCCACAGAAAAACACTGCAAGGTCATGTAATCGGCTGGTATCCTAGTATGTGCATATCCTATCTAGTTTAACGGCTGATTTAAGGCTGGATGGCATTTCCTGACCTTTAGAACGGAAGATACTTATATCTTAAGCAGTGAGACTCCAGTATAAATAATCCAGATATTAAAACCCAAACATTTAATACTTTCCCTTTAGATCTATTTCAGTAACTATATTTTCTTGCAGCGGTGTCCAGGTGGTATTCTCCTACTTACTGCATAACACTGCGAAGTACAGAGCTCATAGCTCTTCTGCCCTTAACTGGCAATGGCATGTTGAGAAACACTGGCAGCTCTGTAAAGTCTTGCATGCATAAGAAGATCACTGCTGTCTTTAACGTTCAGGTCTCCTGAAATGGCAGATGTTTGCCTTTCATTACCCCCCTCCTCCTTTCTTTATATGTCTCTCCCCAAATAAAATCTTCACAGAAGTAAAAAAAAAGATCAGCTGGGAGCAGGTGGTTTTAAGGAAAGCAAATTATGTTTTCTGCTTCCCTGGACTATCTCCTGCCCTGCACTATGGGAGAAATCCCAGAATGTGCATGCCAGATGCAGGGACCTTCTATCAGCCAGGGATATTTCTGAAGGAGAGCAAGTTGCTAAGAGTACCAAGATGAAAGCTGAGTGGGCTAACTTGAATTTAATAAGATATACTGCACCCTAGATTGTTGCCATGTTGGTTTAGTGGTGCTCTGGGCAGAGAGCTCCAAAATCTCATTGAAGCAGCTTATGCCATGACAGTGATTCATAGTTACTTTCTTTGGACACCAAAGGAGGAAATGAAATGGGACTAAAAAAATGTCATTATTCCTCCAGCTCCCCTTAATTTCTTTTACAACAAATCTTCAGTGCAGACAGTCCTCTGGACCAATTTCCACAGCCACTCATTGAAAGGAACTGTAAGCAGACTCACAGAGACAGAATTGCTTTAATGGAAATACTGATCCTGAAGTCTCTGCTGAACAGTACATACCTTGAGTAATCTATGTGTCCTTAATGATATGCAGGCTTTGTCTGAGTTCCCATACAGACTCAGCATGGCCAATGTATCCCATTTGTATGGTACAGGGCCATAACCATACTGAGCAGAATCTATATGCTGTGCTGAGTCTCTTGCGAAAGATGCCAAGATCCTAGGAAAGGACCCATCCCTTTTGTTTTCCCTGCAGCATCTCTGTCACAGCAGTGGCCAGGAGGACAGCTGCATGCTGGACCTTTTTGTACCATTCCCATAGGAATGTTCCCTGCTGACATGTCCTTGGGAGGGCCTGGAAATGCAGCCATGGCTGTCTTGTTGCAGGTGTCACGAGGGACTGTAACAGTGAGCAGGAGAGGGAAGGAAAAGACAAAATTTGAGATGGCATTTCTACTTGAGGGCAGGGAACTTACTTTGTGTGCTGATTTGGTTTCTCTTTAAGAAAGTGATTTGTGATGTTGGGGAACAGGAATACTACTTTATCAGAAAGCAACAGTGGTTCAGAACAGCAGAAGAGAACTGAGACATTATCCTCAACAGCAGCTTTAGGACTGGGACACAGCAAGAGCTCCGGGGGGTGGAAATTGAGTTAGCCAAAGTTCCTTTCTGAAAGCACAGGTGGAAAATCAGCAGCTGGGGTACATTTTGGAATTATAAGGTTCATTTTCACTCAAAAGAGATAAAATCAGTCACACGTCCAAAGGTCCACAGGGAGTCTGTACTGACAAAAAAAAGCTGAACCCGCATCAGCCTTCTGTTCTCCAACATACTTGGTATGTAGAGTCTTCCACCTGTACTCCTCAAAATTATTTGTACATGTTAATTCTCACAGCCCACCCACCAATGATGTGATAATATTATCCATCTAAGCATACATTTCCTATGCAACTAACTACTTCAGTTCACTGACTTGTTTATCAGAGAAACTCTCTGTGCTGGTGCTTGCAACAGAATTTCATCATCTTTACCTGAGTATCACAAAAGGGTGGAGGTCTATCAGCCTTTCCTTTTCTGGCATGTGCTGGGAATTGCCCCTGGGGATGAATCTAAGCATGGCAGAAATAAGTAAGTTCTTTCTTAAGGCTCAAGATTTTGCTTTAATCTCTGCTCCAAAGGCTCTACCAAGCACCAGTCCAATTCCTCCCTAAATACCTAAAGTTTTCCACAAATATTTCTTCTGTGTGTATCACAAACCTGGACAACATTTAAGCTAAGTACTTGAACATGAATATGAAATTTGCTCTAGATCAGAGTCTTAAAGAGATCATGAATTTAGGGATTCTTTCTAGTGGAAGGCTTTTATTGCATTATCAAATACATCACGAATAAAATTGTTTCAAACAAAAGCATCAAATGAAGCCCAGATAGTTCTATAAACTTGTTTATTGTCTATTGCCCTGCAGTTCAAAACTGATCCTGACACTAGCAATTTATGAGGGTTGATCCTGTGGCTAAATGCACAGTAACTTGGAGGATTCAAGATCTTGAAATGGGTCAGGTCCAAGCCCTAAGGAAACAGGCACATCTTGTGTGATCCAACTGACTGCAGTACAACTCTAGGGTTTGACATCTGTGTTCAGACTTCTCTTCCAAAATCTATTTGCTTTAGAAGGTGGGGTGTTGGGGAGGAGGGAGAGGAGCTATAAGAAACAAATGACTAACTGCAAGAAGCAGCAATTGGACTCAGCATGTTCTGCTAATATACACCTGATAAAAAAAAAAATAAATTTTTCTCCTCACTGCAAGCAACCAGTTTTATTAACATTGAACGATAATGCAGAATGACTGTGGGGGAAAAATGTTTAAAATAATAAAAGAAACCCTGCAGGTGAGCAAGATTGATTTTAATAAAAGCTTCAGAGGAAATATATCTCTGGGATGTTTTCTCCCCCCTTCCTCTTTTGAGGGTGAGATGTGCAGTCTGGCATTGTCAGTCTTACCAGCAGGAGGCCAGTGACAGGATGAGCTGTGTGGCTGACAGGACTGAAGTAAAATCTCCAAGTAGTGCAGTGCAGAATGGCCAATATTAGAGATTACATGGGGGAGAAAGGATACACCAGGGTTATTCAGATATCATTACACACAGCAAAAATAAACCCCAAAACAACAACAACCCACAAACATATCAGAATGACAGCTCTGCAAAAAAGCAGCAAGAACTGAACTCCATCATATTCAAACCATACTGAATTAGAAAGAAAAATATCACTAGCAACAGACACACATTACATCCCACACTCTTTGAAGGGAGCAGATAGAGCTGCAAAGGGCTCATATTCTTGTAAAAAATACAAATCACAGTGCCTGAAGATTACAACCAAGCTGAAAGTGAAGTAAGTCCAACGCAATACCTTGTTGATATTTCATTCTTCAGTGACCATGTAGCTCCAGCTCAGTTTTTACCTGTCCAAGACCTGGTAATGGGACTGTCACTCCCACAGTAATTACTCACTCAAGTAACAGGTACACGGATGTGTAGCACATTGGATTTCACAGTTTGTGACATTTTTTCCGGTAGGGTTAAATGTCAGTATTGATGATTAAAACTTTGAAGTTGTTTCTCTGCAACATGTTGTGCTAAGCCTGTTTTTTTTTCTCCCACTTGTCTTCAGAAGCCATCTCCTCATGCCACTCACTCTTCAGGATGGCAGCACACTACCTGCTGAGCTATGAAGTCCTATTATTCAGAGGAATTCTTGTTGTAGTTTTTATCAGTGTTCTGCAGCACCTCGTCTTATCTAATACTCTTCTTGCTGGAAAAAGAGAACTTTAAGGCTTTCACAACTTTGCAACTTTTGCAGGTTTGCCTACCCTCTTAGGCTTTAATGTTTTATTGAGCTATAGCACATTGTTTGAATGAACTAGGTGCTTTATCACAATCCCTACCACAGAAGAACAAATCTGGGAAACGTCTGTCCTCAAAAGAGAGTAAGTGGGAAAAGGATTCTTTGATAGTGCATCCTGTGAACATACTATTTTTGACAAATAAACATGAAATGGCAGCAGAGATCCCCATTCCAGAAGACAGCTGCATCATATCTAATCAGTCTACTAGGCTGGCCATTGGAATCACAGGCTCCCAAGGGCAGAGCTGAGGGAAAAGTACTCAATGCCAGCTTAGTCACAAAAAAAAAACACAACCCAAATCAACCAACCAACCAAATAAACAAACAAAAAAGTAAAGGTGACAGAGAAAGACCAAGAAGAAATGATAGTGGATTCAGATTTGGAGAAGGAAAGGGAGATAAGCCCTATTTGCAAATGTTGATCACATTTGGTGATTAGCCTCCGCCAAGAAAAATATGGAGGGTCTTTTTTTGGTAACATTTCAATTCAAAACAAATCTGGATTTCTGCTCTGAAATAAGACTTTCTTTTTTTCTTCCTGTGGAAAAGAGAGATAAATAGAAAGACAAGGTCTAGCCTCAAATAGCAAATGAGAACACTTGGTGTCAGGCTGAATGCAGTGTTTCAGTTCAACATCTCGTGCCCCCACTTCCCTCTCCCCCCTTTATTTTAAACAGCATAGATAAAATGTTCTGGTTTGTTTTGAAACACATTTCTGCTGTTCAATTGTATGAATAAATAAGTAAATGAGCTGCTGTTCACAAACCTGTGCTTAAGAGACCAAGAGCTGAGTTGATGGAACTGCTTCAAATGTACTCCAAAGACCATGGCTGAGAGCACTTACAGTTAATCCAAGGGTGATTTTACCTAGGGAAGAGTTGGGAAGAAGAGTGTAAAATGAAGGGGTGGAAAGAAATAACATTTCTTAGACTTTCCTTGCCTTGCATGGGCAGCTGCCCAAGGCAAGTAATCCACTGCCCCATGGTAGAACATGTTCACAGGGACAACTACGTGAACTCTCATGTGATGCACCTGTAAGTTGCCAATAATTCTGGCTGTCTGGTGAGAACAGCTTTCACACTGCTAGTTTATGGTTTTGCCTCTCAGCAGGAACTTTGAATTTATCAGAACAGGCTGTTCTACATATATGGCTGACATTGCAATTTATTGTATCCCACACATTATACCCAAGCATATGTCCCTATGTGAAGTGCTGTTTTACTCATTCAGCATTCATGCGTGGATGATTTCTTGTGCCTAAAGTATTCAATCTAATAGGCACTTTTAGTATACACAACTACAGGCACTAAGATTAAGGATTTAAAATAGTAGACCAATATATTACATAAATGAAAATCTCTTTGGCACCCACAGATATAATATAGTATTTGGGCTTTCTGACCTTGAGTACAATTTCCATATACTCATAAAAAATTGATAGCGCTTCTTATTATCTATTCCCCTCTGCTCAGCCCACCCACTCTCCCCTCCTACATCACAGCCGCCACCTCTCATTACCCAGCCCTGTACACCAGCCTTATGGTCACCTCCAGAGGTCTCTGGGGCAACTGGTTCAGGTTCTGCAAGGAGGCTGCTGTGCTCTGTAATCATCAGGAGCATATCAGGGAGCACACCTCTTCACTTTCAGTCAAGAAATTGACAGATTTCTTGTCTTTGCAACATGAGATGCAAAGAAAGCTTTCCACAGCTACATGTGTCTTTAAGTGGTTTACAGCACATCACCAGGTTTCTGAGAAACCTGCTTCTCTGAGACATCAGTCAAGCAACAGCTCGGGTTCTATCCTTTTTATTGTTCAGGCATCAGCACAATAGTTCATTCCTAGTATTTAGAGGGGGGAGGTTATTATTCCTGTTTTAAAAAAGGCTTATCCATTCTATGATTGAATTAATAACAGAAAAAGCTTTAATGGGGAATAATGTGTATCTAATTATTAATGTACTGTAGAACTTAGCTTTTATATTGCAATTTATATTGCAATTACCTTCTTTGTGATATAAAGCAGAACAATACAGAGGAAGAACTTCTTTATTAATGCCTAATAGCATGGTAATTTAAAATATTCAAGTTTCCTTAATAAGGTGCTGTATGAATGTTACCTAATTTGACAAGATTAATTATACAATTAATTTGAGACTGCTCTCAATTAAATTAGTAAAAATTCTTAAGAATACAGGAACCTAACATGAAGTGAGATACCTATTAAACAGGATATTAATTAGACAGAGATGAAATAATGCATGCTTTGTTAATATAAAGGGCATTGAGGAGTTGGTAAAGATGTATTATTTCATTACTTTAATAAAATAAAGGTGGACCAGGCCCCCCCAAAAAAAAAGAAAAAAAAAGAAAAAAAAATCAGAGAATCCTTCAGAAGACTGTGTAATGGAAGTCAGTATTAGTTCTGCTACAAGGACTGAGGGGCCCGATTCCCACCTTAAGCCAGATTTATTCCATATTGCTCGATCCTGTAGAACTACTCCAGTTACTAGCCTGTTACTGCAGGCTAAATTCAAGTACTGTCCCAATGGAGCAGTGGGAACAAGAGACAGAGGTCAGTCCTGGATTAGAAAATATGCACCAGTTAAATTTGTATATAAAACCAAAAAAGAATGATGCACCACAGCATCATAAATTCATAAAAGAAGACAAGCTAGAGTTCAGAATTCTAGGAGGGATCAAGGCAAATGGCAGGATCACAACCATGGACCTCAATAAGAGAGGACTTTTTTTCAGGGACCTGCTTGGAAGCATCCCATGGGAACAGTTCCAGGAGAGCTGACTGACTTTCAAGGATCACCTCCTTCAGGATCTAGAATGAACCATCCAGACCTGTGAAGCAAAGGAGGCCTTCATGGATGAACAAACTGCTCCTGACAAAACTCCAGCATAAAAAGGAAGTGTGCAGGAGATGGAAAACATGGGTCAGGCACCCAGGAGGAATAAAGATGCTGTCCAAGTGTGGAACAATGAGATTAGAAAGCCAAAGCCCATTGGGAGCTCAGTCTGGCAAAGGACATGAAGGGCAAAAAAAAAAAAAGAGCTACTACAGGTACAACAGCAGCAACAGTAGCAAAAGGAAAATGCAAGTCTGCTGCTGAATGGAAATGAGGACCTCTACAAAAAGCCATAGAGAAGACCAAGGTCACCATGATTTCTCCATCTCTGTTTTTACTGATAAGTTCATCCTTCAGTATCTCAGGCACCAGAGGCCAAGCGGAAGGTCTGAAGCAAGGAAAATTTACTCTTAGTGAAGGAGGTAAGAATACAACAAACTGGACATAAACCAGCCCCTGGGATCTGATAGGAGACACTCAAATACTCAGGGAGCTGGCCAGCATCACTGTGATGCCAGTCTTGATTTTCTTTGAAAGACCATGGTAATCAGGGAAGGCTTCTGTCTGAAGTAAATGGCAACAATAGGTGCCAACTTTTCCAAAGGATGGATGACTTTTCTTCCCTCATTCTGAGATGGCACATACGGTATGTCTCAGACATGGCTTCACCAATTCTTGCAAAGTCAGAGAACCTGTGTAGTCATTTTTTCCCACAGCACACATGTGTGAACCTACTTCATCGTGTGATCTAGAAAGCAGAAATCTTATACCAGCTGCACTTCTTCCCAGCTCCCTGTACCACCTTTGATACTAAGTTCTTTTTGTAACATGATAGTCTTTTAAACTGAGGCAGTGAAAAGTTGCCTACAAAGATGGACTAGCTCATTTTTCCCTGTGAAGCAAATCTTTTTAACTCCATAAGCATTTGTGAATTTTAAAAACTCATCTGCTCTGAGTCATCTGAATAGAAAGATAAATAGATCCCCTCACAGCGCCATTGTATTAATCCCAGAAAAGTTCTTGCGAGACAGAAAAATTGTTAAACACTTCTTCCTTTTAGCGAAACTGACTTCATATGTTCTGCCTGAGGTCAGAGAAGAAATCTGCAGCTTTACATGAACTCAGTCCTGACAAGTGCTAGGCTGTCACCCATCACTTAGAGAGCTGCTCATCTACTATCCACCAGTCTACATTTCCATCATGCTTAGCTTTTAAGAACAATAAAGTTCCTGAAAAACTTAAATTTACATCACTCTTTAATGCAAATATAATCAATTATATATAAATCAAATCAAGAGCGGGATTCCTCTCAGCTAGCTTCAGGCTTCGACAATGTGGACATCAACACCCAAGCTAGTCACCCTGTAACCCCTTTGTAGCTAAAGGAGAAAAGCAGACTCTGTTAGATGTGAATCACCAGATCTATTTTAGATACCTGGTTTAGGAGGTCATGATTCATATTATGGAAGTGTCTGAATCTGTAGAAAGAGAGCTTAGCATGACTAGCTCAGATGAATTTAATTCCAAGGATCTCAGAAAAAAGTTGTAGTCATTTCATCTGGGAAATAGAATACATGATATCACTGATAAGACCAACGATAATGAAACCTACAATTGAAAATGTCAAATATTTTGAATTTATCCACAGAGTGAGCTTTAGAGAGACATTCTTCACATAATCTTCAGGAGCAAATAAAATCAAAATAGGCATTCCAAGAACAGGAAGAATCTTAATTGTTAGATAACTTTTTCCTATGAACTCCTTCTCTCTGTTTCAAACCCAGTCGCATGACATGAGTTTATGTATTTGAAACCAAACAAGATAGCATTGGTTTGTATTAATACTATTAGTAGTATATTATGTATATCAGTACATATTATTGTCATAGGCTCTTTTCTGCTATGACAATTAGTCAGCTTTGAAGATATTTTAAGAAATTACTTATAAGTATATATGTATATGTTCTGATCTGTTTCACTATATGAATTAGGCTTATGCTGCACTACATAATTAGACAAGTTTAAAACCCCAAGGTTTTAGAAGATTTTAAACTTTCATGGTACCAAGTTTACATCACATTTCTCATCTGTAGCAATGCAAATTTAAAGTGTCTTCTCTGAAGTACTTTTAATTAGCAGTAACATGCAAAATTTTGTGATCTTAGAATGAAACATAACCAGCCTCTGCTCACTTGTCCAGACTGAGCCCTTATGACACATAAGATTCATTCAAACTATTGCATTCCAGTCTTGAAAGCAATGAGAATTTATTTTTGAAAATGACAATTCTGCTTCTTAGCAAAGCAGTTTTGGTGCTACATGATTTGCTGTAGTGGTTGGATAGTAGTCCATCATCACAGCTTCAGTGCTTCTAATGTGACACCTAGCAAATACAGTAAAAAATATGGGGAATGTAGCCATTTCTTTGCATATAGTGCCAGCAATTCCTATTCCTATTAGTGTCTGCTGCGTGCCCAGATATAAATGTCAGCTGAGTACAGTGCTCCTAAGAAGTGTTTTCAAAACCGTAAAAGGTATCCTGCAAAGCTCCATCTCTTTGATCTGACTGCAAGAAACCTTGAGTTGATGATTGAAGAGAGCATGGCTAGAGGCAAGCATTCAAACCAATTGTTCTGTTGTGTCAGAACAAGGGCAGAAGGAATGACACATTCAAAGGGTCCATTTTTAAACTGAAGATCTCAACATTTCAACAACAGAGGGTAAGCATCCAAGCTTTTCTACCTTCCTAAAGCAGTAAAATCTATCCATCCCACCCCAAAAGAAAGCTGCAAAAGCATAGGCAAATAAAGGATGCATTTATTATACTCTTTAAATTTCCAGGGACTTGTCCTCCTTCATCATCTTTATCCTGTCCTGTAGGCTAGACTTTTCATGAAAGCATACCAGTTTGTTGTATTTTGACTTGAAATGCCAGATCTGCGGCTGTTACAAATCTGCTCTGTGTCAATGACAGCCACAGGCTCTGCTTGCTCCCCTCTTGTGTGAAACACTTAACCAGACTTTTATACTCACTAGAGCAAAAGTATGGGGAAAGCAAAGCTGCTGTGCATAGGTCCACACCAGCAGAACAAGTGAACAACTGGAATATTTTTTCAATGTCTTCTGTCAGAAATGAGGGCAGTTCTGAACTAAATGAGGACT